TCCTCCTCCCCCTCCTTCCCCTCCCCCCCTCCTCCCCCTCCCCTCATCCTCATCCTCCTCTTCCTTCTCCCCTCCGTCCTCACCTCCTCTTCCTCTCCTCCTCCTCCTCCTTTTCCTCATCCCCCTCCCTCCCTCCTCTTCTTCATCCTCCGTCTCCTCCCCCTCCTCCTCTTCGTCTTCCTCCTCCTCCTCCTCCACCTCCTCCTCCTTCTCCTCTTCCTCCTCCTCTCCTCCTCCTTCCCTTCCCTCCTCCTCTTCTTCCTCCTCCTTCTTATCATCCTCTCCTCCTCCCCTGCTCCCCCTCCTCCCCCCCTTCTCCCCCTCTCCCCCCTCTCCTCCCTCCTCCTCCTCCTCCCCTCCTCCTCCTCCTCCTCCCCTCCTCCTCCTCCCTCCTCCTCCTCCTCCTCCTCCCTCCCCCCCCCTCACCTTCTCTTCCTCTCCTCTCCTCCTCCTTCTTTCTCCTCCTGATGCTCCTCTTCCTCCTCCTGCTGCTGCTCCTCTCCTCCTCCTCCTTTTCCTCCTCCTCCCCCTCACACCCCTTCCGCCCACCCTCCCTCCCTCCCTCCCTCCCTCCACTCCCTCCCACCCTTCTCCTCCTCCTCCTCCTCCTCCTCCTCCTCCTCCTCCTCCTGCTCAGGCCTTCCGGACGAGGCGTTTCAGGAAGGGCATCACCGTCGAGGATGAGACCGTCTCGTGACAACCCGGGTTGTCGGGCCCGCCCGCCCCACCCCCCCTCCCCAGGATATGACCGGGCCTTGTCGGCTGTGCAGGCCCAGAGGAGGTGCGCAGCATTGGTGCGCGCGGGCAAACGTGGGGGGCTGCCCACAGCGGAAAAGTTTGGCTGGCGGCCGTCACCTCCTCCCCCCCCAGCGGATGACCCAGGCTGCAACCTAAAACGAGAAATTGTCTAGATCGATGGAGTTGACACCTCTTCCTCGGCAGCGGGCGCCGGAGGGCAAGACAAGGGCGGCTCTGGCGGTGGAAGGCCCGCGGGCGTCAGCGGAAGCGAGCATCGGCCTTCCAAGCCATGGCATCTCTCTGGGATTCAGCGCTTCCGGGATGGCCCAGACGGGGCCGGAGCAGATGTGGTCGGGGGATCGCGCCGCGTCGGCGACGTGGCGCGATCGGGAGCCCGACCTTCTCAGTCCCACCGTCGCCGACGTACCGTTGAGGGGGTGCGATTGCTGCCCACATTTGTTGCGGCTGCTGGCACCGGTGCCTTCTTGGAAGCCGTACCGCCGCCGCCAACTCGCCGTGAGTCTGACGTGAAAGCGCGACAAGCATGACTGCCGCTCTGGGGAGGCCCTCGTTACCAAGCCATAGCAGATCCGACTTTGAGCAGGGAGTGCGAAGCACAGCATGTGTTGTGGAGTGCCGGGCTTGGCTTCTGCACCGGGGCCCAGGGCAAGCTCCCCCATGTTGTATTCCAGATGGCCTTGGACGTACCTCGCCACCGTGCCCGATTCGTTGCCATTGGTCCTCTTCTCCCCCTCCGCATCTTGCCCAGAGGCGAGGGGCAAGTTGCACTGTGCCGCTGCGTGGTGTGGCCTTGGGCACATCTGGACTTCGCGCCCTGGCCGTTGCCCAGAGCGGCAGCACAGGCAGAGCGTCCCCCGGCCGATCTTCCGGGGCCACGGGATTCAGCAGCTGTGGCCCGACGTTTCACGGCTGCCGTTCTGTGTCGTCTGATCGCTGCGGCGTGCGGGTGACGGAGACAGATGTCGCCTTCCGCTGGCAAGGAGCTCTCGACCCCCCCTCGCTCCATCCCTCGCTCACTCCCTCCCCACCCTCCTGCCGCTCCTCTGTCCTTCCCTCCATTCTTCTTCCCTTTCCTTCGTCTTTCCTGCCACCATCTGTCCATCCATCTGTCCATCCCTCGCTCCCCTCTATTCCTCCGTCCTCCTCATCCTCCTCTTCCTCCCCCTTCTCCCCCTATAATGGAAACATGCGCTACTACGTACTGTTTTGAATTTCCTGTCGAGTGCATCGGCCCCTAGCCCTGGAGGAGAACACACACGGGTTGGAGGAGGAGCGGAGTGGCGGAGTGAGCGAGAAGGAGAAGTTGAAGATGGCCAGGAGGAGAAGCGAGAGGAAGAGCGGCCAGAGAGGAACGAGAAGGAAGGGGCCGAGGACGAGGGAGGATGGGATGCCATATCAGCATTCCCTCCTGCTGCTTCCCTCTCCTCTCCGTGTGCCGTTGGGCTCTGGACTGGCCCCTTGGCTCGAGCAGCAGCAGGGGTCAAAGAAGATCGTCAGAAAAGGAGACCGGGGCAGGGGAGGAAGGAAGTCTGTCTCGTTTCTCTTCCAGTTGCCCTTATCCGTCCTCCTTGGCGCAGCCATTCCTCCTCCATCTACGGTTACCCCTTCCTCACTCCCCACACTCTCTCCATGAACCGCTCCTCCTCCGCGGCGGAAGGAGGAGGCGGAGGCTCCGCTTCCCACTATGTGGCCGTTCATGTGCCCTCAGGTTGGTCTCCCCCTTCTCATTTTAATCCCTCCACCTCCTGACCCATGTCCTCACTCATACCTTCTCCATCCCCTCCCATCTGTATCTCCTGCTCGTCTTCGTTCTCCTCCTCGTCCGCCCTACCCCTCCCTCGAATCTCCTCGTCTTCATCCTCCCTCATTCCTCCTGCCTCTCTTCCTTGTGAATAATGTATCCTCGTCGCCCTGCACTGCGGCAGTCCTGGACATTCGCAATGGACGTCCTCACCGCTTATGATCTTGAGGTTTGAAGCTATTGACGCTTCGCGTGTTCCTCCTTGCCCCCTGCACATTGTTCAACGTCCACAAAACAACGCAACACAACCTCTACCAAACCTCGGTCCTCGAACCCAGGGTCGCCCTGCATCGCCGATGCATCTCGATGTCTCCTGCCATCCGTTGTTTTTGTGTCTCACTCCCCCTCGTCGAATTACCAGTCGTTCCGGTAGGGCGGTCTTGGCGAGTCGCAAGGGATGCCTTCACCACCTACAGTCGGGGCGCTGAAGAAGGAGCCGTCTTCGTTGGGGAGGGGCTCGGTGTTCCTGAAGGAACTGGGGTCATCCTGGCTTCCCGGGGTCATCCACACAGCTTGCCTAAGGTTTGCCTGGGGCCATCCATGCGAAATCGAAGCTGAACTTGTGGAAAAAAGGGACCTCGCTCCTTATCTAGGGTACCTTGGGCCAACGCCTCGACTGTATGGTCCTGAGGTCTGGAATTTGGGACGCCTCATGTACCCCTCCTTGCCTTCAGCGCACCCGTCGACGTCCCCCCAAAGCTGAGGGTTTCTCCGAAGGGCTTGGGCGACCCGTCCTCCTCCTCCTCCTCCTCCTCCTCCCTCCTCCCCCCCTCCTCCTCCTCCTCCTCCTCCTCCTCCTCCTCCTCCTCCTTTTCCTCCTCCTCCTCCTCTTCCCCCTCCCCCTCCTCCTCCTCCTCCTCCTCCTCCTGCTCCTCCTCCTCTTCCTCATCCACCTCCTCCTCCTCCTCGGGTCGCCTACATCCCTGGGGGAAACCGTGCACCCCAAAAGCTGTGCAACCTGTATCGAACCTCGATCCTCGATCCTCGGACCCAAGATCGCCCTGCATCGTCCATGCAACGAGATGCCTTCTGCCATCCCTCCTCCGTGTGAGTACCCTCCTCCTGTCACTGCCAGTCCTTTCGGGTATAGGGCGGTCCCGGCGTTTCGCGAGGGACGTCCAGACCACTTAGGATCACGAAGCTCGAGATGTGTGACGGACGGCTCGCGTGCCCCTCCCTGCCCGCGGATAAGCGCTCGACGTCCCCAAAGCTCACAACAGCCTCGAATCGAACCTCAATCCTCGGGCCCCAGATCGCCCTGCATCGCCGAAGCATCGCGACGCTTCTCGCCTTCCCTCTCCCTCGTTTCTGCCTTCCTTCGTCCTCTTCCTCGAGGAGAATCCTGGATCACCTTGCTTACAACATCATGCACGAAACCGAAACATGCACCGGAGTGGACGTCTGAGCGATGGCGAGCTCTCTGATCAGGTGTGGCTCTCGCTCCAGAAGTTGCTCGCGTGGAGCCCGTCCACCGAGCAGCCCAGCCGGGAGTTCGAGGACGCACTTGGGGGGGCCGCGCAAGGCGGGAGAAGGGCGCATGGGACAGGGAGAAGGGCGCAGCGAGCGGAATGAGGACATGGAAGAGAGGGCGGAGCGAGAGGAGGAGGAGGAGGAGGTGGAGGAGGAGGAGGAGGAGGAGGAGGAGGAGGAGGGGGAGCAGGAGGAGGAGAAGGAGGGGTAGGATTAACTGAAGGAGATGGAGGAGATGGAGGAGGTGGAGGGAGGGGGAGAGAGAGAGAGAGGGCTAGACGGAGAAGGAGGATCAGAGATGGGCGCGATGAGCGAGCGGTGGACGTCCATGTGCGGCGGTGGGCGGGGATCCCCGAGGACACGTTCTGCCTGAGCTTCTCGACGAGCGCCGATTTCTTCGGGGACGTCAGGACCATGAGCGGCAGACCAAGAGAGCACAGACACATATACACAAACACACACACACGGCGCGCGCGCACACGCACACACACAAACACACACACACAAACACACAAACACAAACACAAACACACAAACACAAACACAAACACAAACACAAACACAAACACAAACACAAACACACACACACACACACACACACACACACACACACACACACACGCACATCTCTCGGAGGCTTGCGCGGTCTTCTTTGGCCAAGCCCCTCCCCGCACCCCTGGGAGGTGACGCAATTTACAAATTACTCCTGCCGTCAGGGTGTAATTTGCGTTCTGTCCTCGACCGCCACGGCTACCGAGCGCTGCTCGTTCACCGGATTGCCGCTGTCGGCTTCGCTCCGAGGCCAGAGTTTCCAGGCTCCAACTCTTCCCTCCCTCCCTCCATCCATCCATCCACCCATTTCCCCTTCCCTGACATCTTCGCGTCATGACACAAAACACGACGGCAGGTGTTGGGCAATGTTCGTCTTCTGGGACCTGTTCTTGGGACTGGAGATTGCCAGCAAGAACGATTCAGAGTGAAGAGCCAGTCCCAGGGAAGATGTCCAGGCCTTGGCGGAGCCAGTCTGCGATAAAAAACAGCGCCAGATGTCCGGGTTCCTGTATGCACCGCCGGCCACTCATGCCGTGCTTCTTCCCTCATGCACCTCGCACCCTCCGTTACTGCTGCCACTCTCTCACTCCTCCTCTATTGATACATCAACCAGCGGAGTTGGGAACTTGCAGCACGCTCGTTGGGGTGCGTCCTCGTGCGGCTATTTGGAGGCATCTGAACAAGAAGAGCGAAAGAGCGCAAGAGCGTTGAAACACTGGTGCCAATCGGTAGTGCCGTAGACCATAGGATATGAGCGCTTTACCGCATCCACAACTTATCCTCTTTATCGCGTTTCATCTTGCGCATACTTTACCTTCTCATGCTCGTCATTACCGCGGTCCTCTATCTCATATGCTCCCTCTGTTGTAATAAGTTCCCCAAGTCCTAATCTTCCGCATCCTCCCTGCCCCCCCTCCCCGCTCGCCCCCTCCTTTCAAATCTCAGTCCCGTTTCCTCTGGCTCGTCCTCATCCTCCTCATCGTCCCGCTTTTGTTTCCCCCCCCTCCCACTTCCCCCTCCTCCCGCCTTCCTCTCATACGCCACATTATTTCCCCTTCCTCCCGCTGCTGTTTCTTATCCCCCCTCCCGCTTCCCCTTTCATTATTCTTAGCCCATCGTCGTTCCCTTTCTCCCACATCATGCCCATTCCTATCCGTCCTTCTCTTCCTGATCCTTTTGCTCCTGCCCATCCCACACTTGCCCTTCATCCCCCCGTCTCTCTTCCCTCCGTTCCCTCCTTCTCCTCCTTTGACCATACACCCTCGTCCGCCCTCCCATTGGAAGAGGGCCATGTGAAGCATCGGCGACCCCCCCGCCAGGCCCAATCCGCTCAACTTCAACCACTGTGCCCCTCCCAGGGCCTGTCCTGACTCAGTTTTCGAGGCGGGTTCGGCTGTTGCGACCATCAGCTTCTGGGAGGCGCACACAGCACGAAACACGCCAGGGATGGCTGCCGTTGTCTCGGCGGGCCCTGCTCCGATCCCCACTCCTCCCCTCCCCCTAACCCCTCCCCGCCATGCCCCTCGTTCGCGCGTCCCTACCGCCAAGAGCGGAGACTGTGTCCAGCACGCGCTCCAGCTTGGCCCCCACTGGATGCCAGGAGCCGCGGCCTCTAGATTCCAGACGGCGGGGGAGGGCTAAAAACGTTCGCACGCCACGATCAGAAACCACACACACAACGCTCAAGCGATAGTAACATGCACAACCCAATTGGCGCTCAAGACCCAGACTCGCTTCGAGCACCCGCGCCGCCTTGCTCGCCCGCGCCGATGCCCGCTGCGCGTCCAGGGGTCGGACGCGCTTGTGAATTCACGCAGCCGACGGGAGGCCCGTCGAGTGCCGCAGCACTCAACAGGGCACCGTCACCCGCTCTAGCGTGTGAGCGCCACCCGTGTTGATTGTCTTGGCACGTGGGGCTCAGTGGAAGGTTCGTGGTAGGAGGTGTTCGGATGCCCTCGAGGTTTCTAATCGGCCTTATCAGCCTCGGGATGCTTTCCAGCGGTCCGAGAGGCGTCCGGAGGTGCCCAGATCGTCCCGAACGACTGCCGAAGAGCCGAGCTATGACCCGAAAGTCAAGCGGCAACGATGGGGGGATATGCTCAGGGGGCATCGATCCCCGATCGCCCATTGATCGGCGATAAGAAGTATCGCTTATCGCCGGTCTGTCGTGGAAGTATCGCCGATCCAAGCTCGCTATGTCTTCCCCTCTCAGCTTGTCCCCCTCGCACGTTCCCCCCTCAGCATGTCATTACTGGTGCTGTTGACGAGCCCGCGCGTATCAAGAAGCAGCGCCGATCGCGGTTTGGACACCACTGGTGTCCGTCAAGGGCGTACCCCTGCTGTTCACATCTTGGCATGTCCCCGGAGGAGCCAGCTTGGCGTTGCTGGGGGCACGCATTCTGATTTGTGGCGATTTTTGAGCCGCCAACTTCTCCGCAGCTCACCTTGCGCGTGGAGCGATTGGCGTCAAGCTTGCAGCGACCATATATATATATATATATATATATATATATATATATATACTCGTCACCTGGAGCAGCGAATGCCTCAAGAGCAGGGCCATCAGTTGACGGCGTCAATACTTAAGTGCATCCAGGCGAGAAGACAGTTGCCCAATGCGCACGGGACAGACACATGCACATTGACTTCGACCTGTGAGTGGAGGGCACGTGATTGGCAATAGCCCATGCCTCCCCATTACTCCGTTTGTTGTCTGCGATGTCAAACCGTGTGACCGCGCACGCTTTGGACGTGTGTGTTCCCTAAGGGTCGCAAGCGCTGCCGAAGAGAAAGCAGCTGGACCCCTGCTTGACATCCAAACTCCAGCGGCAGCTGAGTCCGAGGCAGGGGCGGCATGCGAGGGCCTGAGCATAATGATCGACCGCAGAGGGAGGGAGAGGAGGAGGAGGAGGAGGACGAGGAGGAGGAGGAGGAGGAGGAGGGAGAGGAGGAGGAGGAGGAGGAGCAGCAGGACTGGAGCAGGAGACCCGTGACCGTTCCCTCCCCATGCCCCTTCCACCCGCAGGGTGCGGCAGGCAGAGAGAGGGAGCGTGGGTGAGAGAGAGAGAGAGAGACATATATGTGTATCAATAGATACAGGCAGATAGATCGAACACAGAGGGAAAGAAAGAGAGAGAGAGAGAGAGAGCGAGAGAGGAGAAGAGGGAGAGAAAGAGAGAGAGACATTTATATATTTCTGAACATGTATACATATAGATGGAGAGAGAGATAGAGCGATAGAGAGAGAGCGCGCGCACCATTGGTGTACGTATGCGCCCTGGGGCATCAAACAGGACCGTCGAGCTGAAGCCCGACGGGAAGAACATCGAAGTGGACCTCGACCACCGCCAGGAAACCCGACGTGAGAGAGGGGGTGACAGGAACGGGACGCGGAGTGGAGTGGACGCCATCACAATGTGACATCCTGAATCATGAGCTGCCCGTGGCTATCGATGCTTGTGGAGCTCGGGCGAGCGCCTTCGGCCAAAGCCCGCGATCTGCACTTCGGAGGCATCCCGACTCAGGCGATCGCAAACCATGGATCAAGGGAACGTGGATCGGCGACGGGCCCCGTTTCCATGGGAAGTCGCAGATTCCCGCCGCCGAACGAGGCGGCACCGGCCGCATCCTGGGGAGGGCACCTCCCCCGACCCATGGATCTGGCGACGGCGCGCCACATCCATGGATCGCCAGTCCATGTGTCTTGGCATCGCTCGGACGTGTGCATTTTCCCTTCGGCGAGGACCATCGAGGAGCATCCTTGATCATTTGGCGAAAAGACCACGCACGAAATCGAAAAAGGCACAGGGAATGGACGTCCGAGCGATGGCCACGTGTGCGCGCCCCCGACCGACTCACGACGCTCACGGCGTGCGGACCGTGGCCTGCACGCTGTATGCCAGCGGTGCAGGCGAAGGGCTCGCCCGTGGCCTCCACGCCTCCTCCGGGAGCCTCGCCCTCTGCCGCAGCGGCGCCCTCGGACTGCTCGAGGGCGGCCGGGCTTCTCGCCAGGGTGCTGCCTGCCAGCCTTACGCTCAGCCAGCTGCTCCGCCCCGCAGCCGCAGCTGCTCCGCCTCTGCTCTCCTCCTCCTCCTCCTCCTCCTGCTTCCATCCCGTGGAGCGTGGCTCGACGCCAGGAGTTGAAGCGCGGACACCAGTCCAGTGCGAATTAGCCAGTGAGGCGGGGGCCCCCTCCACACAAACACACACACACACACACAAACACGCACACATACACATACACATACACATACACATACACATACACATACACACATGTCCCGTCGCTCTTGGATGTGGGGAGGGAGGTCCCGGCGCTAATCCAAGAAGTGCCCGCGAGCTTCCGGAAGCTTACGTTTGTGATGTCTCGTGCCATGGTACACGGGACCTTGTTGGATGTAGGCTGGCAATGTTCGAAGTTTGTTGGGATGTCCAGCAAAGTGATATCATACGGGGACCCAGATAAGACCTCACCATCCCTTGGGGGGGCTGCGAACTGCGAAGCTGTCGCCACTTTTCGAGGGCTGCCGGAGGGCTCAGCACAGCAACGTCATACGGGGACCCAGGTAAGACCCCGCCATCCCTGAGGGGGCTGCGAACTGCGAAGTTGTCGCCCTTTTCGAGGGCTGCTGGGGAGGCCAGCAAAGTGGCGCCATACAGAGACCCAGATTAGACCCCGCCGTCCCTGGGGAGGCTGCGAACTGCGAAGCTGTCGCCACTTTCAAGGGCTGCTTGTGTGCTCAGCACAGTGGCGCCGTACGGGGACCCATATTAGAACTCGACATCTTTGGGGGGGTGCGCATTGCGAAGCTGTTGCCACTTTCGAGGGCTGCCGGGGGGACCGAACAGTGACATCAAACGGGGACTCAGATTAGACTTTGCCATCCCTGGAGGGCTGCGAACTGCGAAAATGTCGCCTCTCTCGAGGCCTCGCTTGTTTCCTGCATTAATCACGAACATATGATCGACCTGACCAGGGCGACATGACGTCGGCGCCAGTCCCCATCAGCGACCACGTGGGAAAATCGTCATCATCATTTGTTGTCCTTCCTCCCTCGTTGTTGCCCTCCTCCTCCTGCTTCCCGCGCTTCCCGCTCATGCTGCTCATGTGTTGACGTTTCGACCCCATTCCGTCCTCCTCCCCCTCTCTCCCTCCTCCCTCCTCTTCGAGCCAAGAGCATCGCTCCCCTCGTCCTCCTATCTCTGTCCTGCAAGCCGTGCAGCGCGCGGGCATCCCATGCAGCTTACGCCAGAAACGGGGTTTCTGTGTTGTCACCATCGATGGCTACCGTGGTCGCGTGGTGCAGACGGCTGTGGCACGTCACAGGGCTAGGTGCTCTGATCAACATGGCCACCGCACTGACGTATACGAGCGAGGAGGGGGGTCGCCGGCAGTCTGCGAGGCTCTCCAGAACAGTTGAAGAAGCCCGTCGCAGGCGCTGCATTCTCACTCATTGCCCAACGAGCCCGCCGCAGGCGCCGATGTCTCCTCGTCGAAGCAATGGTTCTCGGGCAGGATGGCGACAGCAAGGCAACAACAGTAACAGGAATCCTCGCCGCGGAACCCCACTTCAGCCACGCATCCGGTGACGGTGTAAGACCGCGCGGCCCCCTTACTCTGGTTACCAACGTGAGGGGGCCGAACGGCCATTCACTGTCCGGCAGGAGTGGCGTTCCGTCCGGCGGACTCTGCTTCTTGTGTTCTTGTTGCGCTGTCGCCGTCCTCGCCCGCGACCCGCCGGCGACACGCCCGCCAACCACCCCGCGACCCACCCCGCGACACGCCCCTTCACTCTTACCCGCAACTGCGGAGCGCTGCGTCACTCTTCCTCCTCGCTCCCCGGGCTCCTCCGAGGAGTACGTGGCCCTCTACGTCAGGTGGCTCCTGGAGACCTCCGTGGAGCGGCAGTTCCAGAACCTGCAGCGCGGCTTCTCGCAGGCCAGCGGCCGCGCGTGCGCGCGCGGCTCCGCACGTCACACGATACACGTTGTCGTCGTCGTCCGTCGTCGTCGTCGTCGTCGTCGTCGTCGTCGTCGTCGTCGTCGTCGTCGTCGTCGTCGTCGTCCGTCGTCCGTCGTCCGTCGTCCGTCGTCCGTCGTCCGTCGTCGTCGTCGTCGACACAGGGAGAGAGAAAGAGAGAAAAGGGCAAGAGAGAGAGAGATACAGAAACACAAGCAATAGCGAGGGAGAGAGGGGGGGGAGAGAGAGAGAGAGAGAGAAAAGAAAGAGGAGGGCGACAGGAAGTCGGAGGAAAATGTGGACAGGGAGGGCGAGGGAGGGAGGAGGAGAAGGAGGAGGAGGAGGAGGAGGAGGAAATAGGTGTTGACAGACGGTGTCAGGGGACCTGGAGGCTTCTGGCCGGTTCCAGGGGGCCGCAAGAGGGCCTGCAGCGGGCCCAGTGGGTTCCCGGGAGGGAGGGGATGCAGAGGAGGAGGAGGAGGAGGAGGAGGACGAGGAGGAGGAGGACGAGGAGGAGGAGGAGGAGGGGACAAGGACAAGTAGGAGGAGGAGGAGGAGGAGGAGGAGCAGGAGGAGCAGGAGGGGAGGAGGAGGAGGAGGAGGAGGAGGAGGAGGAGGCCCAGTGTAAACCCAAGAGTTATCAACGGTGTTGGAATAAACCCTCCCTCTAAGCTCCCTCTTCATAGGCCCCGACAACCGTCCTGCTCCACTGAGGGGACTGCCTCGTTGGAAGACAACCGTTTGCACACCCTGAAGCATGCCAAATCATGGTTCTCGGGATTCCAGCGCCACGGATCAACCTGACTGTTGCGTCTTGACGATCTTGAATCGTGCCAGAGCTCATTCCGTTCTTGGGATTTCAGCACCGCGTATCAATGTCCGTGTTGCACCCTCATAATCCTGAATCCTTCCTTCAACACCATTTTTGGTACGCAGACCATGGGAATCCGTGAAGCCCTTGCAAAGTTTTAGGACGAATGTGCGCGGCACTAAGGCGAGAGCCACATTTTGAAAAGGAGCCGCCCTGAATCCGTAACATTCCTGCAAAGTTTCAAAATGAATGCGCGCGGCTTTATGGCGAGCGCCACAGTTTGAAAAGGAACCGCCCTCAATCCGTGAAACCCTTGCAAATATTAAAAAACGAAGTTGCGCGGCTAAAGCGAGAGCCACATGTTGAAAAGGAACCGCCCTCAATCCGTGAAACCGTTGCACATGTGTAAGACGGATGTGCGCGGCGCTAAGGCGAAAACCACATTTTAAAGACGGGCCGCCTTCAATCCGTGAACTTGTTGTCCACGTCTAAGCTTCAGGGTGATATATTGTGGGGAAGTCTCAGGCGAAACGCCCGGCCCGCCTTGAAAATTGGCCTCGGGGTGCGACGGGAACAACTTAGTTCTAAGGCAAAGGAATGGAGGAGGAGGAGGAGGAGGAAGAGGAGGAAGAGGAAGACGAAGACGAAGACGAGGAGGAGGAGGATGAGGAGGGGAAGTAGCAGGAGGAGAAAGGCAGGAGGATGGGGAGGAGCAGGCGGAGGAGGACAGGCACTGCAGGAGGAGGGCCAAGGGTCCGAGGAGGCGCGCGAGGACCCGAGGCCTCCGACGACGCGGCCGTGCCGCGGCACGGCCCCTCGGGGACTGCTGGCCCTCTCCTGCCGCGCGCCGCTCTCCGCGGGGCCCCCTCCGCGGGCCCCCCCTCCGCTGCTGCCAGCGGGCTCGCGCGATGGCCCGCTCGCGGCGCAGGAGGTCCGAGGAGGGGGTCTTGGCGGCGCGCGCCGGGGGGGGTCGCGCAGAGGGGGGGGGGGGGGGGGGGGGGGGGGGGGACAGCCCCCCCGGAAGGCGCGGGAGCCTCTGAGAAGGCGGGGGCCTTCTCAGACGCCCCTCCTGCTCCTCTTCCTCCTCCTCCTCCTCCTCCTCGTCCTCCTCCCCGGCTTCCGGGAGGAGCCTTCTCAGGAGCCTCCAGGCTCTTCTAAGAAGGCCGCTGCCTTCTGAGCAGGGCGCCGCCTTCTCAGAAGGCCCCCCCCCCCGCGCCACCCCCTTGTGTTAAGTCGGGCACTTTCCCTCTACAGGAGAACTGCTCAGACATAGTCGAAAAATAGTCTGGGGACGATCTTTCTGCTATGTTCGACTCTTTTTTGAACATCCGTTGGCTATTCTTCATTTTTCTTCCAGGATCCGGCCGTGGGCCTGGCATCGCTCGGACGTGTGCATTTTTTCTGGGCGAGGACCCTGGAGGAGCATCCTGGACCATCGAGCAAACAAAAACACGCACGAAACCGAATCATGCACAGGGAATGGACGTCCGGCGGGGGCGATGGATCGGGGGGTCCCGAGGGTTGCAGGACAGGGGCCCCTGAGGGGCCCACGGGGCCCCGAAGGTGAACAAAAGGTGCACCCTTCCACACCCCCCGCTCAGTGCCCCCCCCCCCCCACCCCCATTGAGCAACGTCCGACGCCTTCTCTGTGCCCCCAGAGGGAGCGACGTCGTGGGGGGGAACCAATGCGGTACAGGCCTCGGCAGATATTAGCGAACGCTCATACCGCATTCATCTGTCAATGCCCCCCCCAATGATCAATGTTGGCGGTGGGTTGAACGAGCTGCACTTCGACCGCAGTCTTGCTCGCGCGTGCCCACTTTGAGGTTTGGGGGAGTGGGGGATTGTCCACTAATTTGTTTCCCTCCACCGTATTGCAAGCAGGAGGCGTGTGCACGTGGATGGCAAGGGAGAAGTTAAGGGTGGAGGATCTGACGCGAGGAGGCGTGTGCACGTAGATGGTAAGGGAGAAGTTGAGGGTGGAGGGTCTGACACTTTCCCGCACACGCCTCTGGGGTCGGCGGATTGTTTCCCTCCACCGTATTGTGAGCAGGATCACGACCTCGGAGCGCGCAGGGGGGCCCAGGCTGTTCGGCGGCTCGAGCTCGTGTTGGGGCCGCCTGCCCCCGGAGCTCTGGAGCCCTTCCCCCGTGGCCAGCCTGCCGCTGCAAAGGGACAACACGTACATGTGCATATGTGTATACATATGCAGATGCATGAATGCATGCATGCATGCATTCATGCATGCATGCATGCGTGCGTGCGTGCGAGCGTGTATGCATGTATGCGTGCATGCATGTTTGCATGTATGCATGTGTGCATGTATGCATGCACGCACGTATGTATGTATGTCTGCATGTCTGCATGTATGTATACATGTATGTATGTGTGGTTGTAGATATGCGTGTATGTGTATGTATGTATGTATGTATGTATGTATGTATGCATGTTTGTCTGTATGTATGTATGTCTGTATGTATGTATGTATGTATGTGTGTGTATGTATGTATGTATGTATGTATGTATGTGTGTGTGATTGTGTGTATGTATGTGTGCATGCATGCATGTATGTATGTATGCAGATAGGTATGTATGTATATATGTATGTATGCATGGATGTATGCATGTATGTAATGTATGTATGTATGTATGTATGTATGTATGTATGTATGTGTGTATGTATGTCTGATTGTATGTGTATGGTGGTGTATGCATGTATGTTTACCTGTATGTGTTTATGTAAGTATGTCTGTGTGCATGTGTTTATGTATGTACGTGTGTTCATATGCATGTAGGTATATATATATATGTATACATGTATGTGGGTATGCTTGCATGCATGTATGTATGTAGGTAGATATGCATGTATGTGTGCATGCATGTATGATGATATGTGTTTGCATGTATGTGTGTATAGGTATGCAAATGCATGTATGTAGGTATGTATGCATGTATGTATGTACGTATGCATGCATGTATACATGAATGTGTGTATGTATGTATGTATGTATGTATGTATGTATGTATGTAGGTAGGTAGGTAGGTAGGTAGGTAGGTAGGTAGGTAGGTAGTAGGTAGGTAGTAGGTATTTATACACGTGTAGGTGTGTATAAGCCAGCGCTCGCAGGACAGCCCGTCTCCGTGGCTGGACGCCTCAACACCACTCACGTGCACAGGACGTCGGATGGCTCAGTGGATTCACGACTGCGTGACCCAACAACATCGTGCTGCGCCCGCTCTTTTCAAGCCAACCTCGGGGCGCCGAGAAGGCTGCAAAGCACCCCCCCCCTTGGCACCATGTCTTCGGCCTCGCCATCGATCCCTCGGACCTGTCCTGGGGTGCGCTCCTGCCACAAAATCTCGAGGGGGAGATACAGCGGCGGCGACGAGAACGAGGTCGGCAAAGGGGGGAAAATGCGCAAGAACATCTCGATCCTCGAGTTTCGAACTTCGCAGACAGGCCACATTTCTCGCAATTTCGATGCTCGAAATCTCGATTCTCGAGTTTCGGACTTCTCGATTTTCGAGTGGAGCTGTGGTCAGCACCCGCCCCGAGGGACACACCAGCTGGCTTCCGGAGGGCTCAAGTCGGCGGCGAGCGAGGGGGGAAGTGAGAATCAGAAAACCTTCTCGGAATCAGGCGATCGC